AGGAGGAGGAGGAGGAGGAGGAGGAGGAGGAGGAGGAGGATGAGGAGGATAATGAGGAGGTGGAGGGAAATGAGGGATGTGGTTGGCAGATTCTTCCTGCGTGAACGTACGTGCGCGAAGGGGGCGTATCCCAAATGCGTCTGGCGCGTGTGCGCTCGGCACGTGCCCCCGCGCGTCCGGGCCCCCGTCAGGAGGCGGAGGCGGATGAGGAGGAGGAGGAGGAGGAGGAGGAGGAGGAGGAGGAGGAGGAGAGGAGGGAGGAGGCCGGAGCGGAGGCGGAGGTGGAGGAGGAGGCGGAGGAGGAGGAGGCCGAGGAGGAGAAGGAGGAGCAGGAGGAGGAGGAGGAGGAGGAGGAGGAGGAGGAAAAGGATAAGGAGGAGGAGGAGGAGGAGGAGGAGGAGGAGGAGGAGCAGGAGGAGGAGGAGGAGGACGATGGAGGAGGAGGAGGAGGATGAGGAGGCGGACGGCGGAGCGAGAGGAGGACGAGGATGAGGAAAGGAGGAAAATGAAGAGGAGGAGAGAGGAGGAGGAGGAGGAGGAGGAGGAGGAGGAGGAGCAGGAGGAGGAGGACAGGAGCAGGAGGAGGAGGAGGAGGAGGAGGAGGAGGAGGAGGAGGAGGAGGAGACGGAGGAGGAGGAGGAGGAGGACGAGAAGGAGGAGGCGGGGGCGGGGGCGGCGGAGAAGAGGAGGAAGAGAGGAGGCGGTAGGAAGAGGCGGGAGATGGACGACAGGGGGGTGAGGAAAGGAGACAAGGAAGAAGAGGAGGAGGAGGAGGAGGAGGGAGGAGGAGGAGAAGAGGAGAAGAGGAGGAGGAGGAGGAGAACGAGGAGGAGGAGGAGGAAAAGGAGGGATGTGGTTGGCAGATTCTTCCTGCGTGAACGTACGTGCGCGAATGGGGCGTATCCCAAATACGTCTGGCGCGAGTGTGCACTCGGCACGTGCCCCCGCGCGTCCGGGCCCCCGTGAGGAGGCGGAGGTGGAGGGAGGAGGAGGAGGAGGAGGAGGAGGGCAGGGAGGAGGAGGAGGAGGTAGGAGGAGGAGGACGGCGGAGCGGAGGTGGAGGCGAGGGCGGCAGCGAGGAGGAGGAGTGAGGAGCAGGAGGATGGAGGAGGCGGAGGAGGAGGAGGAGGGACGAGGTGGAGGAGAAGAGGAGGACGAGGAGGAGGAGGAGGAGGAGGAGGAGGAGGAGGAGGGAGGAGGAGGAGGAGGAGCAAGGAGGAGGAGGAGGAGAGGAGGAGGAGGAGGAGGAGGAGGAGAGGAAAAGGAGGGATGTGGTTGGCAGATTTTTCCTGCGTGAACGTACGTGCGCGAAGGGGGCGTATCCCAAATGCGTCTGGCGCGTGTGCACTCGGCACGTGCCCCCGCGCGTCCGCGCCCCCGTGAGGAGGCGGAGGCGGAGGAGGAGGATGAGGATGAGGATGAGGAGGAGGAGGCGGAGGCGGAGGCGGAGGCGGAGGAGGAGGAGGAGGAGGCGGAGGAGGAGGAAGAGGCGGAGGAGGAGGACGAGGAGGAGGAGGAGGAGGAGGAGGAGGAGGAGGGAAAGGAGGCGGAGGCGGAGGCGGAGGAGGAGGAGGAGGAGGAGGAGGAGGAGGAGGAGGAGGAGGAGGAGGAGGAGGAGGAGCCTACTCGTTTGTTGACCTTTCCAGCGCGCGCCAGCGAGGCGAAGCTCGCGGGCCTCACGGAGGGCTGGGGGCCCGGGCAGGGCGGCCGCCGACCGCGCGATCGCTGCGATCGCACGCCCGTCGCGGTGCTTTGTTTTGTCCTTCTTCGGTATCGTTTGACTGACCCCTCTCCCCATCCCCATCTCCATCCAGACCCCCACATCTCCCCCCCCCCCCCGTTTGTGATATACCCCTTGAGGCCCGAGGGGAACGGCCTACATCCCCATCTAGGGGAGTACATCGGCCAGTGGGGCCCAGGCCACGTTCATGGGGATAGGGGTCGGTTAAACGATGCTTACTCCTGGCCTTGGCCCAAACCTGAAGCCTGTGCACCGCAATTATCTCACACAGGGCGTTCTCGCCCGGTGTCGGGCTCCAGGACCATCACATATTGATTCGGCTAGAAGTATGCCGCGGAAGGACGGAGTCTAGGGCTCTGGTCGTGTTTATTCCTGATGCTGCATTTCTTCCGCAGCGTCGGATCTCAGGGGAGGTTGGTGGCGCCGCCCACACATGAGCCGTTCCGAGCCTCCTCCCTGGCGGAAGGTGGCGGAAGGGCGGCAGACGGCGGCGGCAGTGAGACGGGTGCGGCGGAGGGCGGCGGAAGTAGAAGCGAGGCGCGCCATCACCGCTGGGCTCAGCGGTTCCGGAATCGGCGAGGCCACCTGCGTCCAGGCCGCCCAGGCGGGGTCCCGGTCCCCGAGCGGAGCTGCGCGGAGCCCTCCCGAGCCTCCCCCGAGCTGCCTCCGCTGCCCGCGCGGGGCGCCGCGGGAGGCCCTGCGAGGCGGTTGGGCAGGATCACGAGGCCCTCCCGCGTCGGCCACCCGCGGGCGCGCCTGGGCAGACTCGCCGCCGGGGCCACCACGGCCGCGGCCACCACGGCCGCGGCCACCACGGCCACGGCCACCACGGCCACGGCCACCACGGCCACGGCCACCACGGGTTTTTTTGACTAAACTTGAGCTGCAGACGAGCTGAAGAACTGGGAGCCGGCGGTAAACCGTCAACCTTGGTTACCGCCGGGAACTCGTAGAGCTTCCTCGTGCAATGCGGGCGCGGCAATCTCGCATTGCGCGCGCGAGGGCGCGGTCTCATGGAGGAGGCCCGGGTGGAGTCGTGCTTTGTTCGCGCCAGAGCGTGCAGGTCATCTCAGAAGCAGTGGTCAGCGCGGGAGCTCGTGTGATCTTTTTTTTTTTTTTGCGGCAGCTGCTCGGACGTGCAAGAGACGTCCTGCTGATGGCACGTCCCACGACCTCTCCAGATTCTCTTGCTGCCCAGCGCGGCCAGAGGCACGGACGGGCGGGCGTGGATGGCCGGTGACTGCCGGAAGCTCTGGGATTCGCAGAACGTCTCCTGAGCCTACAGTCGGGGCGCTGAAGAAGGAACCCTTCTCGTTGGGGAGGGGCTCCGTGTGCCTTCATTGTTTTGCAGCTTGCCTGAGGTTTTCCTTAGGTTCTCGATGGGAAGTCCAAGTTTGACTTATGGAAAACTGGGGGCCCGTTCCTTATTTAGGGTTCCTTAGGTCAACGCCCCGACTGTACCGCACCATGGCTGGCAAGGCTTCGGGTCGTGCGCAGGCAGCCGTGCGCAGTGCCCCGTGCGCCCTCCTGGCCGGGCCTCGGTGCCGCCTGGTGGGCGCCACCGCAGCCGCCCGCCTCGGCGAGGCGCGGCTGCCGTGGCGGGCTCCGGGCGGCGCCTCGCCGTCCGGGGGCCTCGCCCTGGAGCTGGGGCCTCGTCCTCGGCGGGAGCTCGGCGGAAGGCCGGCGGAGGCAAGGCGAGGCCCCGCGAGAGGCGGCAATGTTTTTGGGGTTCATTGTTTTTTTGTGGAGCCCGGCATGTGCGGTCGAGAGCTCTGGGAGAGCGTGTCGCCGTGCCCGTTCTGGCCAGCCGCGCCTCGGCGCGGCACGCCATCCACTTCCCAGGCTTCGACGTCCCGGGCTTTCCCGGGCCTCCCGCCCCACGGAGCGGAGCGACACGTTGTCCGCTCGCAGGGGATAGCGTGTCGCCAGGGCCGCCGCCGCGACACGCTAAGCAGAAGTTCCCGACCGTAGTCAGTTTTCTCAGACCCTGGCAACAGGGGGGTGCGGCGAGACCCGAGAGAAATTGATGACTTCACGTAAGCCGGGACACACTTGCATGCCTGTTCGGTGCAGTGCTGGGCGGAAAGGCGGTGGGAGGGGGGGCAAGACGTCATGCAAGTCAATGTGCCAGAATGTAAACTCAGACAGGCTCGTGGAAATCACCCCAGGGCCCCAAAGTCCTCAGAGCCCCCCGAAAGCGCCAGAAGCACAGACACATGAGGCCGCCGAGATGGACCTCCCCATCCACCCTCAGCAATCGGCCCACGTGCCTCTCCAGGGGTGCGCTTCGACGGGGGCTTCGAGCGGAATCCAGCCTTCGCGACGAGAAGCCTGCCAGAGGGCCCCCCAAAAGAAAAAGGGGGAATCCTAAGATTCATGGCGCCCACATCGCAGGGCGGATTTCGTTCGGAAAGCGATCGGATGGGCCCGGGATGTCCTGGAGAATTGCGCTCCGGATTTCGAGGTGAACTTCGTGCGGATTTTTTTGGGCCAGGAATGAAGACTAAACAAACACCCGCGCGAAAATCACTTCGTTTTTAACTCGCCGTTTCGGGGTTTTGCACTGGCAGAAATCCACGCGAAACATCCGCTGCAGCACGTCCGCACGGTCGGTGCAGTGATAAGATTGACGTTGCGAAACGGTCAATATCGCGGAAAACCGCGAGCAGAGCCCTACACCACATCTCTATGCGGCACTTGTCGAGCGGGATCGGTCTGTGATCGTCCTGGGGCCCGCAACGAGGCAAAGCCGCCCGCTGTGATAAACTGGCAGCGCCAGGACCCTCGGGTCGGTATCGTTTAACCAATCCCCATCCCCATCCCCTATCCCCTTCGAGACCCCCACCAAATTACCACCCAGGTTGGGGATACACCCCTCGAAACCCGAAGGGGACGACCTAGATCCCCATCTAGGGGGTTAAATCGATCAGCGGGGCCCAGGCCACGCCGCTGGGGATGGGGATCGGTGAAGCGATACTCATCGGGGAAGCGCGCCCGTTAGCCTCCAAGCTCGAACCCTCCGAACGTTGACTCGGGCAATGAACAATGACATAAGCGTAAAAGCTCCGAGGTCCGCGCGAATTTCTCGGATCGGCGTTGGACTTCTCTCCCTGGCACGCGGAGCGCGCCAGGGGCGGCGCCAGAGGCGCCGCCAGGAGGGTCCAGCTCCGATCCGAGAAACCCGCGCGGACCTCTGAGTTTCTATGTTTATGTCGTTGTTTGTTCCCCTAATTGACGCTGGGCCCTGAGGCCAGAAGCTGGTGGCCACGCTGGTCGGCCCCGACGGCCGGCTCATCCTGCAGGCCGCCGAAGGCGGCGCTGCGGCGGCCAGCGAGGCGGCGGCGGAAGAGCCAGCCGGAGGCGGCCGCCGCTCGTCGTCGCTCGCCAGCGTCGCCGTCGTCTTCCGCGCCACCTCCGTCGTGGTGGGCGTCCTCGCCGTCGTCTTCCTCGCCCTCGCCGTCGCCGTCGCCGCCGTCGCCGTCGCCGTCGCCCTCGCCGTCGCCGTCGCCGCCGTCGCCGTCGCCGTCGCCGCCGCCGCCGCTCTTGTCGCCGTCGTCGTCCTCGTCGTCCTCGTCGTCGTCGTCGTCGTCGTCGTCGTCGTCGTCGTCGTCGTCGTCGTCGTCGTCGTCGTGGTCGTCGTCGTCTTTGTCTTCGTAGTCGTCGTCGTGGTGGGCCCCCAGCGCGGGCGTTCAAGGCGGAGCCCCGTTGAACAGAGCAATGCTTGCGCGTCTCCTCCTCCCCTTCTTCCTCGCTTCCTTCCCGCTCCTCCGCCCACCTCCCCCTGCATCATGTGCGCTCCCTGGGGGGCTGCGAACTGCGCAACCGTCGCCACCTTCGTGGGCTCCTGGGAGGCGCGGCAGAGGTGAGGCCAGCGCGGAGTATTTAATACCTCTCGGCTCTGTCGGGGGCTGCGACATTCGTAGCTGTCGTCACTTTCGTGGGCTCCTGAGAGGCACGGCGGAGTGCAGGGCAACGCGGAGCATTTGAGACCTCGAGGCTCTGTCGGGGGCTGCGAACTGCGCATCTGTCGACACTTTCGTGAGCTCCTCCTGGGAGGCACAGCGCAGGTGAGGGCAGCGCGGATGCTTTGAGACCTCGCGACTCCGTCGGGGGCTGCGAACTGGGCAACTGTCGTCATTTTCGTGGGCTTCTGGAAGACATGGCGGAGTGGAGGGCAACGCGGATGATTTGGAGACCTCGCGGCCCCGTCGGGGGCTGCGAACTGGGCAACTGTCGCCGCTTTCGTGGGCTCTTGGGAGGCACGGCGGAGTGGAGGTCAACGCGGAGTATTTGAGACCTCGCGGCTCTGTCGGGGGCTGCGAACTGCGCAACTGTCGCCGCTTCCGTGGGCTCCTGGGAGGCACAGCGGAATGCAGGGCAACGCGCAGCTGTCGCCATTTTCGCATTTTCGGGGGCTCCTGGGAGGCACGGCGGAGTGCAGGGCGCCCTCGTGGCTCGTGCCCACACGGCGCGTGGCGCCGCTCCGTCATTTGGCGCGCGGTGCTGTTGCATCACAGAGCGCAGAACACTGGAGCGTCACGTAGCACATCGCGCTGTCCTCAGTGGCCCACTTCCCCCCTCCTCAGGAGCTCGTCGCCCGCAGCAGCAGGGGTGAACCGAGCAGATGTGGCGCATGGCGTTGCTACTCTCGCTAGTACTCCTTGCCCTTCCGTCTCGGTCCTCCTTGTCGTCCTCCCCCCTCCTCCTCCTCCTCATCCTCTGCCTCCCGTTGTATGTCTCTCGCCATGCCTGTCGTCGCCGTCCCTTTTGCGATCTGAGTTGCGCAGACGTGCGACGCGCGTGGCCCGATGTATCTTGGCGAAGCGTGTCCGAGTGCTTGCATTTTTTTTTTTTTTTTTTTTTTTTTTTTTTTTTTACAAAATAGATGGAGCGTGCGTGAACAGCCACCCCGCGTGGAGAAGGGGTTGAGCACGTCTGGGGGTAATTCTCCCAGGCCAGGTCGTCCTTCCGACGGGCCCGGGGCCGGGAAGCGGCCTCCAGGGGCCGAGCTGGCGAGGGCGGCCCGTCGCGCGGGTGTTTCCCCTGGGCGCGGCCCAGCGGGGGCCCCCCAGCGCTGGCTGGCGTTTTGCGTTTGGCCCGCGTGTCGACGAGCGCGTCGAACAACTGGCCGCCAAGGTTTTGTTTTGCGTGTCCTGGGGCCGTCAAGCATGGGTCCAGGGCGGCAGACGAGTTACCCCCCGAGGAGGTCGTCGGGAGCTCTGGGACCGCGCGCTGAAAAAAACACGTCGTCGGACGTTTGGGGAGGAGGGAGCATCGCTGACCAGGCTGCCCGCCCCCGCTGTTGTACTTTGCTCGCGACGCCTGGAGGTGGTCGTGCGCCCTCCTCCCTGGCAGGACGGGGCCCCCCGACCTCTCCCAGAGAGCGCCCCGACCAGGTCGTCGAGGCGAGCTCCGCCAATGGCGGCGGGGGCCTCCCAGGGAGACCCACAAAGGGGGGAAAACACCAGTCGGGGGTGGACAGGGCCCCCCTCTGGTGAAACAGTTGGTCAGCAGCGAGGGTGGACGCCAACGCGTGCGGAACGCCAGTGGGCCGCGCTGGGCCCCTCTGGCAAAGCGCCCGCTCGCGAAAACGACCAGGGACCAGACTGGGGCGGGCGCAGGCCCGAGGACACTGCGGCCGCGGCCCCTTCTCAAGAACTGGAGGAGGGCAATTCGCTGATAGGCTTGGCGGGGTGGGGGTGCTCGGGCGGGTGGGTAATGTGACGAACCAACAACACACACACCCATACCCATAGGGGGGTCGGAGAGGGCTATGGGTGCGTGTTGTCGGATGGGGGTCCCCGCTCGAACGGGAGCGTTCCCCAGGGTCCGACAACCCGCACCCATACCCATAGCCAGTCCTCCTCTCAACGACCCCCCTATGGGTATGGGTGTGTGTTGCTCGTTCGTCATAATGGGGGGTGACTTGAATGGGGCGTGGCCCCTTCGGAGGCCCTTCTCTGCACGGGCCCCCCATTCGGAGTACCCTCCATTTTGCCACCCGCCCGAGGTTCCTCCACCTCCGAGTCGCAACCCAGCCCTCTTCCGGGAGGAGGGAGGATCGCTGACCAAGGCTGCCAGGTCCACGGGCGGGCCGATGCCGTGCTGTGCGAGCATGTGAGAATGCGCGTGCGAGAATGCGAGAAGGCTTGCGGCAGCCCGCACAGGGCGCGCCTCCGCTCACGCCGCTCCTGTCCTGTCCTGTCCTGTCTAACTGGGACAGACGCAGGAGCGGCCGGTTCCAGCACGAAGGAGGCGGGTCCTGGAGGAGAGCGGTTCAGAGGTTGTTTTCGACGTCTTCGGACCCCGTTTTTTTTTTCCACGGGCCAGACACCGTCAACAAAAACAGCTCGGGATGATGATGATGATGATGATGATGATGATGATGATGATGATGATGATGATGATGATGATGATGATGATGATGATGATGATGACGATGATGATGATGGTGCTGGTGATGATGATGAGGATGATGATGATGAGGATGACTATAAGGATGATGTTGATGATGACGATGATGGTGATGATGATGCTGATGATGATGGTGATGATGCTGATGATGATGATGATGATGATGCTGATGATGATGATGATGATGATGATGATGATGAAGAAGATGATGATGATGATGGTGCTGATGATGATGATGCTGATGATGCTGATGATCAGGATGATGAGGATGATTATAAGGATGATGATGAGGATGATGATGAGGAGGAGGATGAGGATGATGATGAGAAGGAGGAGGAGAACTGGGAACACCTCGGGGTCAAGGACCCAGCTCCCCCAGGACCCCCCTTCCCTCGCGGCGAGCCCCAAGTGGGCCACCCTCTGCGTGGGAGGCAGCTCCAACTACTCGTGGCATGCTTCTGCTCGGGGGGGGGGGGTGGAGCTGGAACACGCCTTGTCGGGAGCGAGGGAAAGAGGAGGGAACGGAGGGAGAGGATGGAGGCCTGCCAACTTGGATCAAAGTAGATGGGGTTGGCGTGAAGAAAATCGCGCTCCACATCGCGCCGATTCGCCGATGCATCGGCGATGCGGCGCGATCCTCCGACCCCATCTATTATGTCCCCATTTGGGAGGCCTGGGGAGGAGGGGGCAGGAGGAGATGGTGAAGCAAGAGGAAGAGGGCGAGGGGGAGGAGGCCTTGAATGCCCCAGGACAACAACTGGCCGCTGGAGGCCCGGAACGACGAAACATGGGCCGTGTCGATCTCTGCAGGCTGCAGGAACAGAATCGGCCACAGGTCGCAGGTCGATGGACAAGGCCCCCGACGTCAAACTGCCTCCGTGCAAGGGGTCGAGACCTCTGGGGCCAGCGGATGAAAAACAACAGTTGCCCGAGAAGTACCCACACCTTTTTCCACACGAAGCACCTATTTCTACGAACGCCCGGATCTTCGTGACAGTTTGTTCCGCTGCACCTCCAAGGGATCCACGAAAGTGGTCATAGTTGCGCAGTTGGCAGCCTCCCAGGAAGCCTCCTCCGCGGCACCTTCCAGGAGCACACGAGAATGGCGAAAATTGCGCACAGGTGGCAGCCTGCAGGGAAGCGGAGGAGGAGGAAGAGGAGAGGGAGGAGGAGACGCGGCCGCAATGCTCTGTGCAGAACGAGGGCAGAACGCAGGAGAGGTTGGAACAAGAAGGAAAAACGTCCAGCGGACGTCTGGGGTCCAAAACGGCCTGGGACCTCCCAGGAACCCACTCTCCCCCTCTCTGTCTGTCTGTCTGTCTTGTCTTGTCTTGTCTTGTCTTGTCTTGTCTTGTCTGGTCTTGTCTTGTCCTGCCTTGCCTTGTCTTGTCTTGTCTTGTCTTGTCTTGTCTTGTCTTGTCTTGTCTTGTCTTCCCTTGCCTTGCCTTGTCTTGTCTTGTCTTGTCTTGTCTTGTCTTGTCCTGTCTTGTCTTGTCTTGTCTTGCCTTGCCTCGTCTTGTCTTGTCTTGTCTTGTCTTGTCTTGTCTTGTCTTGTCTTGTCTGTCTTGTCTTGTCTTGTATTGTCTTGTCTTGTCTTGTCTTGTCTTGTCTGTCTGTCTGTCTGTCTGTCTGTCTTGTCCTGTCCTGTCCTGTCCTGTCCTGTCTGTCATGTCTTGTCTTGTCTGTCTTGTCTGTCTTGTCTGTCTTGTCTGTCTGTCTTGTCTTGTCTGGCTTGTCTGTCTTGTCTGTCTTGTCTGTCTTGTCTGTCCTGTCTGTCTGTCTTGTCTGTCTGTCTGTCTGTCTGTCTGTCTGTCTGTCTGTCTGTCTGTCTGTCTGTCTGTCTGTCTGTCTGTCTGTCTGTCTGTCTGTCTGTCTGTCTGTCTGTCTGTCTGTCTCTCTCTCTCTCTCTCTTTCTCTCTCTCTCTCTCTCTCTCCCTCTCTCTCTCATATATATATACATGTCCAGATGTATACACACATGCAACGACGCGGGCCCCCCGAGCCCCACGCCGAGGCCCCAGCGACAAAAGGGCCCCAGAGGACGAGATCGAGGCGAAACGCCTGGACTGAGAAAAGCCGCATCGCCGAAGATCTGGGCCCGATGCTCCGAGATCTCCGACGCCGTGGTGCCTTCACAGCGCGTCCCGACCGCTTCCCCAGGACCGGTTTATGTTCTCATCCCGCGCCGCCTTTTGACGGTTCATTTGGGCCCGGCGAGGGCGTCCAGAGATCCCAGACAATGGCAGAGCACCCTCCGTGGGGCTTCTGCCAGGAGGAGCAGCAGGAGGAGGAGGAGGAGGAGGAGGAGGAGGAGGAGGAGGAGGAGGCGGAGGAGGGAGGAGGCGGAGGAGGAGGAGGGAGGAGGAGGAGGCGGAGGAAGGAGGAGGAGGGAGGAGGGAGGAGGAGGAGGGAGGGGAGGCGGAGGAAAGGAGGAGGAGGAGGGGGAGGAGGAGGAGGAGGGGGGGGGGGGGAGGAGGCGGAGGAGGAGCCCCCTGCGTCCGTCCGCCCGCCCCCCCCGCACGCCAGGCGGGGCCCCGGCCCCCGAGGCCGCGGAGGCCGAGGAGGAGCTGCCGACGCTCGCCGAGGCCCTGCGGGGGGGCCCGCCGTCGGGCCCCCGCGCGGGGGGGGCGGTGGGCCGCGGATCCTCCTCCTCTCCTCCTCCTCCTCCTCCTCCTCCTCCCCTCCTTTCCTCCCCTCCTCCTCTCCTCCTCTCTCCTCCTCCTCCTCCTCCTCCTCCTCCTCCTCCTCCGCTGTTGGGGTGTCGCCGTCGGGGGCGGCCAGGATGCCTGGCATCGCTCGGGCGCGCGCATTGTCTGTTCTCTCGGCGAGGACCGCCGAGGAGCACTGTTGTTCGTCCTGCGAAAGATATGCGCGCACGGAGCCGAAGCATGCGCAGGGAGTGGGCGCGAGCGATGGTGAGGAGGGGGGGCGATGGCTGGCCCTCAGATCCGGGCGTTGCATTTTTTTCTCGCATCGCACGGGGCGCTTTCGCCCCCCAGCTTCGGGCCCCGGGGCCCTCACAGATCGATTCGGCTGGAAGAAAGATGGGGTTCAGGGCTTCGGTTGTGATTCCTCTCGCTTCGCGGGGTGCACGTCCGGAGTACGTACAGTGAGGTCGTACAGTGAGGCGTTTGGAGGGTCTCTTTGGGCCGGCTTGAGCCCTCTTCGGCCGCCTGCGGGCCCTCTTGAGGGCTCTCTTGAGGGCTTTCTCAAGGAATCTCAAATCCTGAATTCCTTACGTTTCCTCAGGATTCTTCAAAGCTCCCCAGGATATTCTAGGGCTCCTCAGGGGTCCCTCGGGTTCCCCAAGAATATTCTTGAAGGTTTCTCAGGATTCTACAAGATTCTTCAGAGACTCCTGAGAAGCTTTGCAGAGGCTCTGAAACAATTTTCAGGGGCGGTGGAGAAGCTTTTCAGAAGCTCTCGACGAGCTTCGCAGAGGTTCTTCAGACGCTTCTCAGAGGCTCTCGAAGAGCTTGTCAGGGGCTCTCTCACAGGCTCTGAAAAAAAGCTTGCCAGAGGCTGTCAGGAAGCCTCTCTACGGCTCTCAAGAGGCTCGTCGGGGGCGCCATCCGGGGAATGGCCCCTCCCGTCGGGGAAGAACCCAGCCAGCTTCTCACCGTCGAGCTGGGGAGTGCCCGTCCAACTGGGGGATGGCTCATCGAACCAGGAGGAGGAGGAGGAGGAGGAGGAGGAGGAGGAGGAGGAGGAGGAGGAGGAGGAGGAGGAGGAGGAGGAGGACAATGAAATTCGATCGTCACGGGGGGGTGCCCGGTGCGGTCAGCAGTCTGCATCCGCCGCCTGTGCGAACGGCCCCGAAAGAGGACCCCGGGAGCGCGCCGCGAGGCGTTCGGCCGGGGGTCGTCCGGGGGGCTGGCTCCTGCGACTTGCGATTCGCATAGGCCGCCCGTGCAGATCGCTCCGAGACAGGGTCCAGGGAGCGCAGCGGGAGTTGTCCCGTTCCAGTGGCCTTTTGCGCAGGGGGCCTCTTCAAATGGCCCATGCGGTCCAGTGTCGCTCAAACGCGCGATTTGGGACCCCGTTGGGGGGCTCTGGGGGGGGTGAGGATCTCACGCGCCCAGAGACCCCCAAAGGGGTCGGCGGATTTTTGTTCTGTTGAATTTTTTGTCAGAGTCAAATCCGAGGGAGGGGGGGGGGGATATCATGACGGGGCCACGAGATCTCTCCAGATCTTGTGGCCCCCTCTTCTTGTTTCAGTGCGTCCCCTGGCGCACGCGTGCTTCGGGCCATGATTTGCAAACCCCCCTCTTGGACGCCCCCCCTTTGGACGCCTCCGAGGCTAGACCCCTGAGAGCATGGCGTCGCATTTCTTCGGCAACGGACGATTCTGCCTTGATTCATGCCCTGGGGGCATTAGCTCGGTCCAGTTCGAAAGCTGCCGCAAACAGACGGGGCCTGGGGCTCCCGTCGTGATTTTTCGCGATGCTGCAACTTCTCCGCAGCGTCGAATCTCAGGGAATGTTCGGCCACTCGCGCAAGGGGAGAAGGGGAGGGGGGAAGGCTTCTCAGAAACATCCCTGCTTCTCAGAAGGCGCGGGCCTTGTCTGTAGACGCAGGGCCGGCGCCTTCTAAGAAGCGGCCTCCTATCAAGAAGCTTTCCCCGTTCCCCTGCCTCTTTCTGCGCGCCGCCAACTCGTTCTCAACGTCGACGTGTCCCAAGAGGCCCGCTCGCAGGTTGTAGGGAGTTTCGTGCCACTAGCTTCGCTGGCGGGCTCGGGCCCGTTGGGAAATCTTCGGGCCGTCTTGGAGGCCTCTTGGGCCATGAGGGGGTCCTCCTGGGCAGTTTTCGGACCCTCATGGATGCTCATTGGGCCGTCCTGAGCTGAACGGCCAGAGCGCGACAGTCTTTGAAACATCCATCGGCAGATCACTGATGTTGGCTTCTACGGACCTCTTTCAGGAGGGAAAGAAACACACAGACACAATTCATCGGCGATTCCCCAGAAAATATAGGAAAATATGGGAAGTGTGGGGGGGAAGACAGAAACCTAGAACATATAGGAAAATATGGTGACTATTTTTATTTGTGTATATTTGTTTGTGTGTCCTGGGGGCCCTTCACTCTTGGGGGACCTCTTGTGGCCCTCTCGGGCCGCCTTGGAGGTACCGTGGCCCTTCCCGGCGGCCTTGGTTGCCTGCCTGGGTCGTATTGGAAGTTTGGGATCGTGGGCGTTTTTTTTTTTTTTTTTTTTTTTTTTTTTTTTTTTTTTTTTTTTTTTGTTTTTTTGTTTTTGTTGTTGTTTCTTATATTTTTTAAAAGAAGGATCGAGGCTTCGGGAGCGCGGGTATTTTTTTCGGGGGGAGGGATCGTGGTCTTGGGAGGGGCAGCAGGATCAGGGTGAGCAGATTGAGGAGCAGGGCGAGGGATGCCGAGGAGGACAGATGGTGTCGCTGATGGCGATGATGGGTCCTAGGGACTGATGATGACGACAACGACGATGGTGACGATGATGATGATGATGATGACGATGGTGGTGATGATGATGATGGTGACGATGATTCTGATGATGGTAATAATGATTATGATGATTATGATTATGATTACGATGATGCTGCTGCTGATGATGCTGATGCTGCTGCTGATGATGATGCTCCTGCTGCTGCTGCTGATTATGATGATGATGATGATGATGATGATGATGATGATGATGATGATGATGATGATGATGATGATGATGATGATGATGATGATGACGATGATGATGACGATGATGATGAGGACGATGATAATGGACGACGATGACGTGCCCATGCTGCGCTCAGGGCGTCGGGGGCTGGGTCCTCCCGCTCCCCCCTCCCACCAGCGGCGGGTACGGGAGGAGGAGGAGGAGGAGGAGGAGGAGGAGGAGGAGGTGGAGGAGGAGGAGGCGGGAGGAGGAGGAGGAGGAGGAGGAAGGAGGAGGGAGGAGGAGGAGGAGGAAGTAGGAGGAGGCGGAGGAGGAGGGAAAGGAGGAGGAGGAGGAGGAGGAGGAGGAGGAGGGAAGGAGGCGCCGCGCCCCGCGCCCCGGGGCCAGGTCCGCGTCGCGGAGCCCACGGCCCCGACGCCCGAGGCGGAGGCCGCGGAGGAGCGGCGGGTGGGCGCACCGAGGCCTTACGGTGCCGTTCTTACTGCGTGCTCCGCGTGCGGATCCTCCTCCTCCTCCTCCTCCTCCTCCTGCTCCTCCTCCCCCTGCTCCTCCTCCTTCTCCTCCTCCCCCTGCTCCTCCTCCTCCTCAGGAGGAGCCGCATTAAGGATGCAGGGATTTGGTATTGATAACAACGATGAGTTCATGCACACATTCATTCATAGATTAATCATGTTTTAGAGTCCTATATATATAAACCCATGTATGAAACACTGCCCTGTGGGTCGGGCCTGTCCCTCTTCAGGAGGAGTACATTCAAAAACAGCGAAAAAGTAGTCCGCGGACGATGTTACGAGTATTTTTGAGTATTAGTGGAATGTCTTTTTTGGACTGTCCAAGGCCGCGAGCGACGACCACTCGACTCGTAGGGGGGGCGCTTTCGGGCGTGATGCCCCAGGCCGCGAGCGACGGCCACTCGACTCGTAGGGGGGGCGCTTTCGGGCGTGATGCCCAGAGGTTTTCGGCCGCTTTTCGTCGGACCCCGGGGGCTTCCCAGCCTCGCGGTGCTCTCGGGCGCTTTCGGGCGTGAGGTCCGGAGGTTTTCGGCCGTTTTCGTCGCACCCTGGGGGCTTTCCAGCCTCGCGGTGCTCGCCAGCAGCTGCGCCTCGGCGTGGGCGTTCCGGGGATGCCCGGATCGTCCCGAGCGGCCGCCAGAGGCCCGAGTTATGGTCCGAAAGCCGCCCAGGAAGGGGACAGGCGCACGGGTGGATGTATTGGCTCCCAGTCGCCCATTGATCGCCGATAGGGGCCCGATAGCCCATTCCGCCCAGAAGCTTCGGGTTCTGCTATCGGGGCCCTGTCGCCTGTCCATCGGCCATGTATTGCCGATTCCAGCTCGAAGTTTTCCCCCTGAGCTGGCCCCCCCCATGATCCGTGCCCCTCAGCGACATATTAGAGAGAGCGTGTTCTGCCGCTGCTGGCGGAAAACCGGGGGGGGGTGTCACTGCGGGTTCCCAACCCCCCCCCCCCTTTGAAAACCGGGGGGGGTCACTACCGGTTCGGACCCCCCCCCATCCCCCCCAGATCATCATGAAAAGGGGGAGGTGTCACTACGGGTTCGAACCCCCCCCAAAAAACGCGGGGGGGGTCACTACCGGTTCGAACTCCCCCCCTTGCCGCCCTCAAACGATTCCCGCTCTTCGGGACAGATGGACAGTGGTGGGGACGGTGGTGGTGGTGGGGACAGTGGTATGGGGACAGTGGGACAGTGGTGCGGACAGTGGTGGGGACGGTGGTGGTGGGGACAGTGGTGAGGGGACAGCGGGACAGTGGTGGTGACAGTGGGACAGTGGAGGGGACGGTAGTGGTGGGGACAATGGTGAAGGCGGTGGTGAGGACGGTGGTGGGACAGTAGTACCGTGGGGAGAGTGGTGGGGACAGTGGGGACAGTGTGACAGTGGTGGGGACAGTGGGGACAGTGGGACAGCACAGTGGGACAGCGGCGGGGACAGTGGGGACAGCGGGACAGTGGTGGGAACAGTGGGGACAGTGGGACAGTGGTGGGGACCGTTGGGAAAGTGGGGAGAGTGGGACCGTGGTGGGACAATGGTGGGGAGAGTGGGGACACGGGGACCGTGGGGAAAGTGGGGAGAGTGGGACCGTGGTGGTGCGAACAGTAGTGGGGACAGTGCTGTTGGTGACAGTTGGGACGGTGGTGGGAACAGTGGGGACAGTGGTGGTGGGGACAGTGGTGCTGGGGACAGCAGTGGGGGATGTGGTGCGGACGGTGGACCCGGGAGTCGTTTGCCGGCGGTGAGTGGCGGGGGTGGCCCGAGCCAGTAGTGACCCCCCCCCAGTTTTCTGGAGGGGGGGGGGAAGGGGGTTTGAACCGGTAGTGACCCCCCCCCCGTTTTCTGGAGGGGGGGGTCAGGGGGGGTTTGCCGGGGAGAAGAGGGCGGGGGGTCCAGCAGGGGTGGGGGGGGATTTTCGAAGGGGGGGGAGGGGGACCCCCGGGTTCCGGAGGAAGAGGGGGGGGGAAATTTTCCACAGTAAAGCGGCGGTGGATCACACTCTCTCACATATGAGGACGTTTCCGTCGGAGCTCCGACGGATCCGCGCCTGTGGACGAGCATTCGAAGTATTAGGACGCGTTCGGACGTATTCGAGGTTTTTCAGCCTCAGGATGCCTTCCAGCAGCTGCGCCTCGCCCAGGGCGTTCTGGGGGTGCCCAGGTCGTCCTGGAGTCCTGAGCGACCATTTCCCGCAGTACTTGTTTTTCCCTCAGGCTAAGGCGTGTTCAAATCTACGCCCTCCTTCGTTTCCTGCCTTCTCGTTCCCTTCCTCTTCCTCGATTCTCGAACGTCCAGCCTCCTTCAGCCTCTTTCCTTGTGGAAGACTGCTCCCAGTCGCACCACCAGGCCAGGCGTTTCGCCTGAGACTTGCTCACCGTTTGCGACATTTAAGCCTAGAACTTCCAGCAGGTGCTGGGATGTAGGGCGGGCCGCTTTCAAAATGAGACTCGTCTTGGCGCCTCGCACATTCGTCTTGAACACTTCCAGTATGTACGCGGATGGAGGACGGTCCGTTTGCAAAATGGGTGCCCTGGCCCGGTGCCGTGCGCATTCGTCTCAAGCGCCTTTCGAACTTGCACCTGTGGAGGCGGTTCATTTTCAAAATGGGGCGAGACTTGAACCCGTGCAGCAGTTACACTCAGGAGGGGAAACAACACACAGACACAATTAATCGTCGATTCCCCAGAAAATATGAGAAAATATAGGCAGTGTGGGGGGAAGAGAAACCCAGAACATATGGGAAAAGATGGGCAATCCTTTTTATTGTTGTGTATGTATTTGTGTCTCCCAGGGCCCCTTCATACACGGTTGGAGGGCGGCTCCCTTTCTTTTTGGGGCCTCGTTTGAGACTTCTTCGAGGTTGGAGCTCCACTTTGCCGCATTCTTTACAGCTCGAAGGACGGAGAGGACGGCTTCCTTTCAAGACCGAGCTCCGGCCTCAATTGCGGGCCCGTGGAGCGTTCGTCTTTCACGGAGTCGCTTCGCGCAGTGGAGGAGAATGCCTGCAGGGACTTGGGACTGGAGGGTGCGTTGCAGCATTGTCGTCCTCCTCTCCCTCGGGCCCAAGAAAGGGCCAAACAGCGCCAGACAGGCCTCGGCCCTCGATCCTCGAACACCCTCCCCTCCCCCCTCTCCTCTGCTTTCTACTCCTCCTCGGCCCTCGACCCTGAATCCTCGACCCTCGAGCCTGGAACCTCGAACCTCGAGCCTCGATCCTCGATCTCCCATCTCGCACCCTCGCGCCTCCCCTCCTCGACCCCCGAAGCTCCAGCCTCCTCCTCGGCCCTCGGCCCCTCGACCCCTCGACCCCTCGAGCCCCCCGCCCGAGAGGACCCCGAGGCCGAGTAGAGGCGGCGTTTGAGCCGCCCCGCCGCGCACGGCACGGGCAGCGGGCCGGCAGAATCGCTGGCCGGCTGCCGCTCCGCGCGGCGGCCCACGAGGGCGCGGCGCCGGCGCCCGCCCCGGTGCGAAGTGGACCTCGCAGCGCCCCTCCTGCGGCGGCGCTCGAAGCCCCCCCCCGTCCTCGGCCTCTCTCGGCGGTTGCGTCCAGCCTCGGGCTGCGCCCCGGCAGGCTGCGCCGCGCCGAGAGCGTCCAGGGGGTGCCCAGCGCGTCCCGAGCGGGCGCGAGAGTCGGGCCGAACGAAAGGGGGGGATAGGGAAAGGGGGGGTTACGAAATTTGCTGCGTGCGGCTGGTTTCGGCCCCACTGAGGGGCCCATTCCTCGAAACATAGCCGCCTCCGGCGCCAGGAGGCGCCGGGAAACTCAGCTACGTGAGCTGATTCTCAACCCCCCCTTTGCTATCCCCCCCTTTCGCCCGACCCGAGAGAGGGCCCAGCCATGGCCCCCCAGGAGTCCTGCAGGGGATGGGCCCCGAGGTTTTCTTCGCCCTCTTCGGCCACCAGGGGCCCTCCCCCGGGGCCCAGGCAAAAAGCTCAAAAAGCTCAGGGCGAAGAGCTGGCCCTGGGGGAAGGCCCCGCGGGGTCCAGGATCCGTGGCCCTCGCCTCTCGTGGGCAGTGCGTCTCCTCTCTCTCGCGCCCCTTTTCCTTTCCTGCCTTCCCCTGCCATCTCCCTGTGTGCACCTCGTCCTCCTCGTCCTCCTCCTCCTCCTCCTCCTTCTCCTCCTTCTACTGGCTGGCCTCGCCACCGGCCTGAGCATCGCTAAGAGGCTGCACCCTTGGCGTCTCGTGAAGGACCCGATCAGCGCCTTGGTGCTTACGCTCGAGCGGGTCGGCTGGGGATTCATCGACGGCGACCCCTACAGGCTCCACGACGCGCTGGGCCACGAGTATCAAGTACGTCGGTAGTCGCCAGCATTTTTCGGCCATATGGTCTCCCTGGACTGCCGACGAGCCATAGGGCTCGAGGAGGTGAAGCGGCACGGCTCCAACATGTGGGGCTGGGAGGTCCCACCCTTCTGGCAGCCGATCCTCGACCTGGCCAGCCATCGCTCTGAAGTGTGGGACCTGCACCACCAGAGGGCGCTGCGCTGCCTCATCCAGAACACCTACTGGTGCCAGGCCAGGGTCGGAGCGGAGGACCCCTCCGTCCCCTAAGAGCTGCCAGCTCTGAGACCACCCTGTCGGCTCCTTCTTCCACAGGCGGCTCAGGTGCGAGGCTCATGACGGCTGGAGGCGCGAGTTCCTGGAGCCGCCTTTGCGGGAGGCGGCTGCACCAGTCGAGCTCATGGACAACCCTTTCACGGAGCTCTTCGCAAGGGGGCTGTTTCCCGACATCTCGGAGCTGGTTTAGAGACCGCTACGAACCGACGACTATTTCAAGCACGCGACCAGTTGGCCGAGCTTTGGGTCCTTCGCCGACGGTGAGCACGTCTTCGTTGGCGGCTCAGGGCTCGATCAGAACTACCCGAGCCTGAGGACAGCTGGCTGGTCCATCATCGTCTTCGACGAGCACCGCAAGCTGGTCGCCGAGGCGTGGGGCTCGATCCCGCTGTCGGAAGGACCTGAGCAGCTGGCCAGAGATGGAGAGGACTACGCAGTGAAGGTCCTCACCGACACCATCGCTGGGGGCTCCTTCAAGCTCTACTGCGACTGCCTCGCGACGGTGCGTTGTGCTGCCAATCCTTTGGCGGCGGCGGCGGGCAGCCAGCGAGCCCACCTCTGGGCTGGACGAGCGGAGAGGCTCAAGGACGCGGAGGTCATCAAAGTCAGGGCCCATTTTGGGCCGCAGGCAGTCAGGGAAGGGCTGATCACGCAGTTCGAGCTTGATGGCAACGCCTTGGCCGACGCCCGAGCTAAAATAGGTGCCTCTGCAGTTCGAGCGGACATCGACGACGTCCACTGCATCGAGGGCTGCCAGTTCATCGCTCGCCTGGCGGCGAGGCATGCGGCAGCGCAGGAGGTGCACATCGCATGGTCGGGCCTCCGCGATTTTCCATGGGGGCCAAGGCCCTGGAGATCATTGACCTGGGCGAGTGGCCCGCGGATGCTGCCGAGGCCTGTGAGGAGGATACGGCCCCGTCGGCCAGCGCGGACCCCTTTTGCACAGGGGGGAGTCCGCTGCCAGGCCTAGGCGGCTCGCTGCGGCCGTGGCGCGTGTGCGGGCACTCCTTGCTCGCGGCGCCTTTCATCCCCGAGGCAGGAGAAAATTCGGTCCTGCTGTTCTGCACAACTTGTAGAGGTTATGTTTCGGACAGGACAGGACGTGGCCTCCAGGACTACTGTCCAGGTCGCCCGATCCCGAGTAGCAAAAATTGTAGCAACATCGCCCTGGGCAAGCATCCCAAAGGGGTGCGAGAAGGCTCGGCGATCTCAGGTCTCCCTCGGATGCCGAACTCTTGTTTTGGTCCGAGCATTTTCCCCTTGTGCGCTCAGAGGTGACCCAGGAAGGAACCCCGTCGGAGGGCCCGAAAAGGCCTTCGATTCTGGAGGCGTTCCCGTTTTTCGGGCTCCAGCTGGCCCAAGCCCAGCTCTTGGGGTTGAGAGCTCTTGAGGCCAGGACTCGGGCCCCAGCGGCCAGGCAGCGGGGCCTTGTGGCCTCAATCTGATGACCTCTTCGACCCCTGATCGCTGGCTCCTCCCAGCTGCGGCTGGGGGGCGCTGGGGTCAGGGGTTGGAGGGGTCCTTAGGTTGTCTGAATTTACTGGTTGCGGGCTGGTCTGCTCGGTCAGCTGAATCTCACCTTAGCGCTGCGCACGTTCGTTTTCAGTTTGCTTGTTTGTTTGTTTGTTCGTTCGTGTGTTTGCTTCAGGATTTCCATGGTCAGCGTTCCAGAAATGGAGTTTTGGACGGGTTCAGGATTATGAGGGTGCAACCGTTACCTTGGTTCGCGGTGTTGAAGTCCCAGGAATGGTGTTCTGGCACGGTTCAGGATCGTCAAGACGCAGCAGTCAGGTTGATCCATGGCGTTGGAATCCCGAGAACGATGTTTTTGGCATGTTTCAGGGTGTTCAAACGGTTGTCTTCCAACGAGGCAGGTCCTCCAGTGGAAGTGAATCCTTGCAGGGCCCTGTGAAGAGGGAGCTTGGAGGGAGGTTGACAGTCGAGTTTGATTCGTAGGTCGATCCGGCCCAAACAAGGGTACCTTTGTGTCCTGTCGCGTGTCCTCTTCAAGCCAGCCCGACTGTAACCCAACATCGTTGATAACGCTTGGGTTTACACTGGTCCTCCTCCTCCTCCTCTTCCTCCGCCTCCTCCCTCATCTCCTCCTCCCTCCTCCTCCTCCTCCTCCTCCTCCTCCCTCCTACTCCTCTCCTCCCCCTCCTCTCCCTCCTCTCCTCCTCCTCCTCTCCTCCTCCTCCTCCTTCCCTATTCCCTCCCTCCCCTCCTCCTCCTCCTCCTCCTCCTCCCTCCTCCTCCTCCTCCTCCTCCTCCTCCTCCTCCTCCCTCCCTCCTCCTCCTCCTCCTCCTCCTCCTCCCCCCCTCCCTCCCTCCCTCCCTCCCTCCCTCCCTCCCTCCCTCCCTCCCTCCCTCCTCCCTCCCTCCCTCCCTCCCTCCCTCCCTCACCTCCCTCCCTCCCTCCCTTCCCTCCCTCCCTCCCTCCCCCCCCTCCCTCCTCCTCCTCCTCCTCCTCTTCCTCCTCCTCCTCCTCCTCCTCTGCCTCCTCTCCTCCTCCTTCCTCCTCCCTCCTCCTCCCTCCTCCTCCATCCTCCTCTCCTCTCCTCCTCCTCCTCCTCCTCCTCTCCCTCCTCCCTCCTCCTCCTCCTCCTCATCCTCCTCCTCCTCCTCCTCCTCCTCCTCCTGCTGCGCCCCCGCCCTCGCCTTCTCGGATCAGATCAGCCGCGCCTGGGGGGAGCTGTGTTCCCACACCCCTTCGGATGCAAATCCCAGGAGGTTAACTTCAGCATCGTCGCCGGTTTATTTCGTGGTCGAAAGCTGGCCCGATCTGGCATAATTCCGCCTGAGCCAGCTTAATCCTGTTCAATCCGGCTTAATCCTGAACCAATCTGGCTAAATGCCCCCTCCATCGGGCTTAACAACCTTTAACATGTCTTTCAAAGACCTCCCAGGAGTTGCTTCCTAACCCCCAGAGTTGCTTCCTACCCCCCCAGCATTTCCCAGGAGTTGCTGCCTAATCCCCAGGAGTTGCTTCCTGCCCCCAGGGAATGCATCCGAAGCAACCCTAGCATTTTTTACGGAGACCTCCTAGGAGTTGATTCCCATCCCCCCCGCCCGGGGCAAGCAACGATCGGAGGTGGATAGACCTCCTACCCTGACATGTCGATTAAGGAATTGGCCGTTTTCGGCTCGCGAAGGGCGTCGCGGCCGTCATTTCTGCGGGCCCAGGTCCGTCGGCTTCGGGCCCAGGCCGCTTTCACGAAGGGGAGGTTTACCAAAGGGAGGCTCGTCAGGCTTGTCCACCGCCGCAACGAAGGGACGACACACGCGACCCGTCTCAGAGGCTCGCGTAGGCAGGCCCGCCCGCCCCCCCCGCCGCGCCCCCGGCGCCGACCCCCCCCAATGCCCAGCGCTCCGCCGCCGCCCCTGCCTGCAGGCGTCGTCGTCGTCGTCGTCGCCGTCGCCGTCGCCGCCGCCGCCGCCGCCGCCGCCGCCGCTGTCGTTCTCGTCGTTCTCGTCGTCGTCGTCGTCGTCGTCGTCGTCGTCGTCGTCGTCGTCGTCTTCGTCGTCGTCGTCGTCGTCTCGTAGGTCTCCCAGCGTCGCTGAATTCTCTCGTTCGCCGCAGCAGCCGGGCGGGGCTCGGCAAGCCCGGGGTAGCACAGCCAGGACGCTGGACCGAGGGGCAGCGAGGGCTCGGACGGGGGGGGTCGCGGTTCCTTATCGGCGGCGCGCCCAGGGTGTTCGGCAGCAAATCGCGGGAGCAAATCGGTACACACTGGTACTTGTAAGTCGGGCCTGTCCCTCCACAAGACGAGAAGTCAAAAATAGTTAA